TGGGAAGCCAGCTCCATACTTAGCCCAAAGAATACAGATATTTTACTTCTCACATTAGATGTAATTTAAAAAGATTAAAAATCCCTACCAACTTTTGGGAACCCATTTTAACATATTTTGATTCAGCATTAGGTGATTCATATTGGACAATAAAGATATTTTGTTGGCTCAGATGTTACTTAATCAGATTATACTGGTAAAATTCTTATGGTTTGTTCTCAGCTACTCTATGAGTTCCAACTTAAATTAATTGGCACAATTGGTTTATTGTACACTTTCGTGAAATCAAACAGTTGTCATTAGAAAGTATTGAGAGGATAGACATTGTTTACTACCCCACATAAAATGTCACAGCGATGGTAAATTTATTAACATTATTTATGTTTCATGATATTAAGATAATTAGTATGAAAGGGAAAATGTTGGAAGGGTACAAGAATGGAAATATTGATAGTATATTATTAAGATTTGAGCAAGGTATTTAGATATTTAAAAGATGAGATTTAAAGATGTTATATACAGTCTTAAATTTTCTAAATTAAAAGTTCAAGAAAACCTATGTAAATCAATTTAATCATTGATCTAGCTAAGTATTACAAGAATTGGCTTTATATGTCTCTGTGTGTGTTTGCATATGTGTGTGCACATGTGTGTGATATTGTTTTATTTATGAGCATTTAGTTTGTGCTAAATATTACACAATCCTTAAAAAGTAGCAGACTGTTAGAATTTATGTTTTGGACATTTAATGAACCTACCTGGAGTTCATTCTGTGCCTGCTTTCAATAACTAGACATTGATATCTAATTTTTAAATGGATCACTCAAGGCATGGCCAGTAACTGCACCTTCTGTCAATATTTGGTAAATATTGCAATACGATTTATTTGAAAAAATTTCCTAATGCTTATATATTTAATTAAGCAAATGATATTTTGTTAGCCTTTGCTAAAGGTATAAATCCAATTGTTTTGAAAGATTTACAAGTATCATCAATAAACTTTATTTACAGCTAGCACCAGATGAAATTTGGTTGTTTAATTATTTTGAACATATTGTCACTAATCTTTTTATTAAGCCCCATAAATTACAATTTTCTGTTCCTAAAAAGATAGCATTAAATTAGTCTCGAAAGATTTTAGGATTTCAGTTGGCTTCAGCCGTTTCTCATGAGTTCCCAGTTTGGCTTTTTCTCACATTTTGGCTTTTCTTAAAGGAGATACTGATTTAAATTCACCCAGTCACATTGTGGCACCCCTTTAACTATTTTTCTATTACAGCTAGAAGCTGAATTTAAAACAAAAATTACTTTCCTTTATAAGATTAGATTTCCCTATTTGTTTTTAAAATTCCTTTTCCTTGCACCAATGACTAAACAATTACCTCTCCAAGAATTTTGGAATGGTTATTTTTACCTAATACACTCAAATAAAAAAAATTATATTTTGTCATTTTAATTTTGTGTGTATTCAGTGTATTGTCTGTCTGTATGTAAGTACACCTGTGTCATGCAGTGTCCTCAGTTGTTAGCCACCATATGGGGTGCTGGGACTCAAACCTGGGTCCTCTAAAAGAGCAGCCAGTACTATTAGCCACTGAACCATCTCCCCAGCCCCTAAAAAATATTTTCTCCCCAAATCAATAAAGAATTAATTACACCTATTCAAAAAGACTGAACCAAAGCCACCCAGTTTATTGGGCAAGATCTTAACCTTATTTATTCTTCCATCTCTCCAATTAATTTTGTCTTCATCTTCCTTTTTTATTGTTTGGAAAAGCTTCCATTCACAGTGTTTTTCTGATATCAGTATTTATCTTTATTTAAAACCTCCTTCAAGGACTAAATCACCCTGCTTTTATTTGAAAGTGTTTGACCCCATACAGAATTACCTGGTCTCCACAGAAGGAAATCATCATACTAAATTTCTAGTTGCCTTTTCAGTTATCACAGGTACAGATTCAACAAAGTATACAATTCTGTCCTGACTGCCAATCAGTGGGCAGCATCATTTTGACATTTGACATTTGATGTGGAACTCCGGGTGTACATCTAATGAACTTAGGCAAATGGAAGGAACTTATATAAATTCATTTGACTAATTTAAATTGGCTCATATATATTTATATGTTTTAAAACTTTATTTTTACTTGCTGGAGCACAAAAAATCTGTTTAAGCTATTTAAAGTACAAAGCAAAACAAGCAATAGTCTTGCTTGTATATCTAAAACTTTTATCATTTTTTGCCAATTTTAGAAAGTTCATGTTTCTTATGACATTCCCTGTATTACCCAAGTACAAGCCATAATTATATTATCTTATTTATTATTCATAAACTTGAGACATAAGCCAAAAGGGGGGGGATTAAGTATTAGCCACTCAGGAACAAATTATAATTTAAATCTTTTAAAAATGTTTTATTATTTTATGTGTATGAGTGTATTCCCTGCATGTATGTAAGTGCACCCATATCATGCAATACCTGAAGAGGTCAGAAAAGGACGTCAGGATCAGAAGAGGGCATCATATCCCCTGGAATTGCAGTTATAGACTGTCATTAGCCACCATGTAGGTACTGGGCATCAAAGCCGAGTCCTCTACAAGAGCAGCCAGTGTCCTATCCGCTGAGCCATCTCTCCAACACCAATTTAAATCTTTTTTTTTTGTCTTTTTTTGAGACAACATCTCTCTGTAGCCCTAGCTATCCTGGAACTCACTATGTAGACCAGGCTGGCCTTGAACTCACAGAGATCCACCTGCCTCTGCCTCCTGAGTACTGGAATTAAAGGTGTGCGCCACCACGCCGGGCTAATTTCAATCTTTTAAAAATAACTTGCACTTCAATTTTTTAAAATTGCTCCTCTCAATTTTCACCTGTAGCATCTGCTGGATAAACATCTTAAAATACAAGTTATTTCTTTTTTTCAAAACCCGTGGTTTTATATAAACGAAATTAAGAAACAACTAATGGCTGGATCTGGTTTGTCCCATTTGTTGGCACAGAGTCTCCATACTCTCTGGATTGCAGCATGACTAGTAAAGCCATACCAGAAAGATACAATCTGGCAAGAAAGACCTTTCCCTCCACACAAATAGCTATCATGTTCCCAGTGCTGCCCTACTTAAGCCACCTAGTCCAGAGAACTAAGATGACACCGTGCTGACCTATTCTGATCCCCTAGCATGGGCCCACCCATGACTGGCCCATTACCCATGACCATCCCAAAGAATGTGCTGCTTCATTTTTTTTTTAAAAAAAAGGGAAATCTAGGAATGTCTTATAAAATTGGGAACATAACCTAGACTAATGACTTTTAATTCATTCACTTTGACAAACTCATTTAACCTTGTGCTCTTTTAACCTGGGCACTTGATTTTGTTTCCTGCGAATGGCAGTTTGCTATTCCCCCCAAAAAGATATTGAATGGATGTAGGTATGGTTGAAAACTAACATATCAAGGTGCTGAAAGGCAGCACATGTATCTTCATTGAAAACAAGGAAGATGGAGAAGTATTGCTTGACCTAGAGTGTATGAGATGTTTTAGGCCTAGAGATAGAAGGGCAAGTTTGGCTGGTATGATAAGAGTGGATCCAGCTTCTACTTCCTGGTTTGAAGATGGAGAAATGATTTTGAGTAAAGTTATGGGTGAGGCCTTACTCAGGGACACAGTTCCAGATTCATTTTCAAGAGATATCTGGGGGGAATGGTGTCCTTTGAGTTTAGGCCCACTCTTAAAAACTAAATTAAGAGTCAGGATGTTTTATTCAGGGATTAACTGTATTGTGGCCTCTAGAAAGCTCCAGCAGATATGTATATCTGAGACTGCCCTCATTTCTGGCTGGTTTCGGTAAATCACAAATATGAGGGGATTTTTGTTGTTGTTGCTTGCTTTTTTTGATGCTTTTGTTTTGTTTTGTTTGTTTTGTTTTGGATGTGGGAAGAGACTGAGAGGATGAGAATCATGTTGCCAAAGGGAATAGTCCCTGGAGGGATGGGGTCTGAGGGAAGGCTAATGTACCTATAACTCAAGTACATACTAGATTGTGCAGTTGGTGTTAGTCCTAAGAGATCCTGAGCAAGGGTGGCTATATGTGGCACTTTTTTTCACTTTTCTCATTGGCCTTAAGGAGGTGAAGGCATTGTCCTAAAGGGCAGTGCCTTCACAGCAGAGGTCAGCCCAAGAATGACACATAAGTTCTCCTAGGAGTCAGTGAGAGGCCCCTACAGGGAGACTGAGGGGATCCCCATAACCTTAGACAGTTGGGGCCCCTGCCCTATGTAATATCAGCCCTAAGAAACCCCACCTTCTGATATTCTAATTTGTTGTGCCACTCTTCCCATTTTATGTCATCAAGTGGCTAGAATCAGTTCATTAGAGAGAGAGGCCTCAGGCCAAGGAAAGACTCGGTTTGAAGATGACCCCTTACACAACTGACAGAGCCCAGCCCCTAATGACTCCTGCTATTGAGAGGGCTTATCCACTTCATAATGGTGTGTACATCACAGTCCATTCCTGTCCACCTGCCATTCCTGGGAATGAGACCCAGGTCTGTGCTTATATCTGTGCAACTTGATCCCATCCCTCTGAATTTCCCTTACAGAGCCTCTAGGAACAAAGGGCAAGGATATAGAATTGAGTTACAAATCCTGAGATCATAGAGAAGAGGCTGTGATAGGAGCCACAGGAATGTGCACACCTTAATTCTGTCAAGGGTCTTATCCCACAGCTCCTGACCCAACATATCCACAGTGAGCCTAGCTGGGAGTGAGCATAACTGGCAACATTTACAAGAATATCGTCATGTCCTCCTAAAGGTTCTTAGCAGACAGGCTCACCAAAAGGGCAGCAGGCCTGTGAGGCCTTAGAAAACTATCTTGGAAAACTGTTGAGAAAGCTTTGGTCGATACTGATAGTTTTTTTAAAACAATTCTTACACTCCCTCTCCCTCAGGGCAGTCTCCATCAACCATCTCCTGCCAGTTATCGGAGAAACAAATTATAATGTCTCACATCCAGAAGCACGAGGAAGGCTTTCAAGCCAAAAGAGAAGATCAGGGCCTTGTGGGTGAACAGGATCCTGCACCTCAGGAGGTCGGCAGCCCTGAGGAAATGCCTGCTGGGAGTTCCCAGGAGGCCTCTTCCTCCTCTGGTGCTACCCAAGCCACTATGTCAAGCAAACCAAGTGAAGCGTCCTGTGGTCAAGTCAAGCAAGGTCAAAGCACCTCACCATTCAGCCTCCACTCTGATTCCTTGATCAACACTCAGCTAGAAAAGAAGATGCTTGATTTGGTGAAGTTTCTGAGTGACAAGTACATAACAAAGGAGCCTATCACAGAGGCAGAAATTATGAATAACGTCATCAAAGGTTACGAAAGCTTTTACCCCTTGATCTTCAAGAGTGCCTGTGAATGCATGGAGGCAGTTTTTGGCATTGGAATGAAGGAAGCTGATGATGTCAAACGCTCCTACGTGCCTTTTAAAATACTCGACCTCAGCTATGACGGGAGGTTGAGCAATGAGCAGGGCCTACCGAAGACTGGCCTCCTGGTGCTAATCCTTGCTGTGATCTTTATGGAGGGCAACCGTGCTCCTGAGAAGAAGATCTGGGAAGTGCTGAGTATTATTGGTGTGTATCCTGACAAGCATGATTTCATCTGTGGGAATCCCAGGAAGCTCGTCACTGAAGATTTGGTGATGGAGCAGTACTTGGAGTACAAGCCGATACCTGGCAGTGATCCTCCATGCTATGAGTTCCTGTGGGGCCCAAGAGCCTATGCCGAAACCACCAAGATGAAAGTTCTGCAGTTTTTTTCCAAGGTTAGTGGGAGTAGCCCCACTGCCTTCACAGCCTTGTATAGAGAAGCTCTCAAAGAAGAAGAGGAGAGAGCCAGGGCTGCTGCTGCTAACACAGCTGGTCCTACTGGGAAGGGCAGTGCAAGCTCCGGAGACAAGCCCAGGAGCTTGTCTAAATAAATTCAGATCGATTCATCACTCTGTGTTTGAAGAAAGCAGTCAAAGTTCTAAGCAGTGAAGAAATTTTCATTTCTTTTTCCTTTTAGAATTTTTTCAGATATTCTCTTTAAAATGTTTATTAGCTTCAGAATCTAGATTCCTTAATTGTACTGTTCACACTTTTATTGCTGTTTGTTAGGATTAAGAATAAAAGTTTTGTTATTGTGAAATGCAAATTGAGAAAGTTCTCGTTTTTTGAGATGTAGAACAAAATAAATGTGGTATTGAAACAGCATTTGCCTTAGAAATGTGAAAGATTTCAGTAAAAATTAAGATCAATAAGTGCAAAGAGGCTGTAAAAGTGGTTAACACTAGTGTACTTTGCAAATCTAAAGATACATACTTCACTGACTTGCTGTAGTGAAGAATGCATGATAAATTAAACGTTAATAACGAGCACTGGCTCGTTTTTCCAGCAAACAGTGACTGAAAGGCACTTTGTTCTTTAAAAGGCATTTTGTTAACAGTGAAAACCTGAAGATAAGCAAGTAAGATGATTAAATTTCCTGTAAAACAAAGACTAAAAGGATTGGGGAGGTGGGATTCCAAATGGTAGAGCGCTTAAGTGTAAATGCTCTGAGCCAAGGCAGTTTGGGGATTGGGGAAACCACAAGTCATTCTGTTAAGCTGGATAGTGCTGGGAGCCAGATACACAGACATTGTGTCTGATAGGTGAGAGAAAAACCTGGAATAGAAAATAGTCCTGAGAATTCCTTTTTGACCGTGACTAAATAAGAAAGGAATCTCCACCTGGGCCAGTTATAGAAGGTGTCTTTTGTATTTGTCCCAGTGCAGTTTCAGCATAGTGTATTACCTAAGCATTGTATATACAGCACTTGCAAGCACTTCCTGGGAAATCTGATGATAGTCCCTAATTATGTCATCTTGACTATAATTTGGTCAACTCCAAGCAGGGGTTATATTATTGCTTACAATGAAATAAATAAAAAGGGTGTTTTAGGGGCTGGAGAGATGGCTCAGTGGTTGAGAGCACTGACTGCTCTTGCAGAGGACCTGGGATCGATTCCGAGCACCCACATGGTGGCTACGAACCATCCTTAACTCCAGTTCCAGGGGAATCCTAAGCCGTCTTCTGACCTCTGTGGCACTGCACAACATTGGGGCACTCACATACATGCAGGCAGTACAATCATTCATACACATGAAATAAAATTAAATGGTGTTTTAGATGGAGGAGAAACTGGGAAAGACAGAAGGAGATAGTTCTATGAATTCTATACGGCTGGAGAAAATTCTCCCATAACTGTTTAAATAATATATCTATAAGAAAAATTTACCTAATTTTATTTGCAAAATCATATTATGAACCATTGCCATTTGTTAAAAATCCAAAATGTACCAGACACTGTGCCTAGTACTTTACATGGGATTGCCTACATCCCAGAAGCCCTACAAGATGGTTTATCAATTTGTTTTACAGAGGAGAATCCTGAGACTCAGCACTTGGCATTTTGCCTAAGATCACATGTAATAAATGCCAGGCTGAGATTTGATTTCTGGCCCCACTTTACCAAGGCCTATAACTTCTCTTATTCTTATAGTTCATTTCTCTTTTCAGTATTCTTTTAGGCAGCCAAAAACAGAGCCTTTAGGAAAACAATACTAAAAGTAATACTTGAAGAAGGAAGGTCATGTGAGAAACACAATCTGAGGTTCATCTCTGAGCTTTACTATGGTCCTCCATCCTGAGCCCCAGAATCCTAGAGATCTACATCTCCCCAAGCACTAACATTTGTGTCACCACGGGATTTTTTTTTAAACGTCAGCATCCTTTCCCAGATGAACCTGTGAATCCTAACTCTGGAAACTGGCCTGCTGATTACTGTAACCTCCTTTGTAGGTTGTATCCTGCTCCCAGTGGAATAGCCCAGCATCAGCTCCCTGATGTAGAGCATTCCTATTCTCTTCAGAAATCCTCTGGGTGTCCTGTCCCTCTTCTGGAACCTCTCCTATTTAAATTTAGTCTTTTCAGTTTATGGTGCACTTTGGAGACTGTTCTGATATGTAGTCATCCCCAGTGCCCCTTCAGCACACTCAAATTATTTTGCAAGTGTGCTACTAGTAGATACTGACACAGAGGGAGGGAAGGAGGGAGGGTAAAAGAGGGAAGAAAGGATAGAGGGAGGGAGATTAGAGATATGACATATTTTGAAATTAATATTTGCATTAGGATTTTAATAAAATGTTATTTGAAACAGGCCATGGAACACACATAGGTGAATAATCTGTCTTAAGTGGCAGAAAACTAAATTCTTCGGCATAGGTGGTAGATGATAAAAGACCATAGACCATATATAGGAAGCTGAATTCCTTAAAACCCTGGAATTCTTTTAGGAGATGAGCAGTAATTCCTTGTTGGATATTCTAGCTCTGATGTGAAAAGAAAACAGATCAACCATCCTTCCATAGCCTCTTGTTTCTGTCCCCACAAAAATCCTGAGGGATAGAGATGTAGTACAGTAGTAGACAAGCGCAAGGCTCAAGATTCACTACCCAGCACCACAGAAGAAATGGGAAAAAGAAAAGTATCTTGACTCCCAGTTTATCTCATGGCACCCAAATAGGTAAGAATATAACATTTCTGGGTTTCCTAAGTGTGGAGCTTTCTATTGTTTATTGTTTATTTTACTGTGATAGGTTTTAGCACTATTAATTTTACTGGAGGTGAACAAAGGGGTGGAAAAACCAAGAAAGCAGATAATTAAACATTTCATACTTGGCTCTGAAAATTGTTTTACATATCCCCTAATTTTCTCAAAAGAACATCCTAAGGTTGGGAAAACATGCTTTCTTACATTTAGGAGGAATAAAGCACTACCCACTGCAGCATTCATTTGCATTTTCAAAATGTTAGGAATATTCTGACATTTACTTAGTAACTATGTCTACAGTTTATAATACTTCGTTTACTATATCTGCATCTCATTCCTCTTTGGGGGGGGGGAATTGTTTCTTCTCAATCAAGCCAAGGTCTTTTAGGACAGCAGCCAAATGTCCTTGACCACTGATGTAGAAGGGAGCTGGGGGAAAGAAAAAATGGAAATCAAGAGAATAAGAGGAGAGGGAGGGAGGGAGGGAGGGAGAGAGAGAGAGAGAGAGAGAGAGAGTATTGAATTAGAGAATGAGAGCATGAGAGAGTAATCAGCTAGTATTTTAAGTTTTGGTTCTACCTGCTACTAGGCCGTTCATATCTTTTGGTTCAGTTATGTGAGCCACTAATTTCTCCTTTTATGTATGTGAGATTAGATGTGTTTATTGCCTATTTTTAAAAAAAATTATTTTTATTTTGTGTGTATGAGTGTATTGCCTGCATGTATGTAAGTGTACCTGTGTCAGGCAATGCCTGTGGAGATCAGAGGAGGGTGTTGGATCCCCTGAAACTGGAGTTATGGATGGTTGTTAGCCACCATGTAGGTGTGGGTTTCAAACCTGGGTCTTCTGCAAGAACAGCCAGTGCACTTAAGTGCTGAGCCATCTCTCCAGTCCCTTTATCACCTATTTTTAAAAGGCCCAAGGAAAACATTAATTCATCCATTAATTCCATTCCTACTGTAACTACCCTCTTTGATATTCTTATGACCCTTTACTTTTACTCTTAGTTTGCTAACAAGTAACTTATTCACTGAGATGCTGAATGTTTAATTTTATTGTAGGACTATATTCATGTAAAATTAACTTATACAGATATAGACCCTTTAAAAGGGTCCTGTAATTGGTTAAATTCTTTGCTCTTGTCAAATTGAATTCTTAATTATTCTCTCTGTGAAGTCTGATGGAACAGGAAGGCAGGCACCTAAATAGAGGCCATCGTGCTAGACATTGAATCAGGGCTGCAAGCTCAGTGGGCATCAGGAAGTGTGTGTGCCGAGTGGTTGAAATGTCTACTCAGGATACACACAGACAGGCCTAGAGCCATGTGAGGCAGCATGGGTCTCCAGTGGAGTGGCAAGGCTAGTACATAGGCCCAAATTAGGAGCAGTATGATGTTAGCAGCTATGAGTGGCTTTAATAATCCACACTGCACAATTGCTTGGGGATAAGTACACTGACATGCTTATTTGTTCCCAGAGCTTGTTGCAGTAGCATTTTCATAAATATTAAACTCTCTGCCCTGAATGTCAGGAGAAAAACTCTGTTCAAGGAGTAAAGTTTTCAGTATGTCATTACCTAAAACAGAAACAGGGGTACCTCTCTTTGAGAGAGAGAGAGAGAGAGAGAGAGAGAGAGAGAGAGAGAGAGACCCAGAGGGAGGTAGAGAGGAGAGAGGAAGAGGCTACAGCAACAGCATAACGAAAGGTCTAAGCCAGCACTGGCCAATAACACTTTATTTTGGTAGTGAAATGTTCCCTATCAGTGACCTCTAACACAACAAATATAACTAGCATGACTTAGAAAGAGAATAACAAAGAGAATATTTCTTTTAATTAATTTCAGTTTCAATAAACACTTGAGGCAAGTGGCTAACACAATGGCTAGCAAAGTTCTAGAAATTGTGGTCCTTAGAGAACCCTTGAAGAAATGAGTATGTTTGTTTTAGATGAGGAAAACTTGAGGTTAATGTGTTGGCTATCTCAAAAAATCAAGGATTAGATCTAGTGAGATGGCTCTACAAGTAGAGGTGCTTGCCCCCAAACCTGTTGACTTGAGTTTCATCCTTGTGACCCACATGATATAGAGAACCAACTACTGTAGGGTTGTCCTCTGGCCTCTGCACATATGTTGTGAGGCATGCACCCCCACCTCACACAAGCAATAAACAAATAAATAAATAAATATAATTTAGGGACTGGAGGGATAGCTTGGCAGTTAAGAGCATATGCTGCTTTTGCAGAAAACCCAAGGTCAGTTCCTAGGACCCACATTGGGTGACTCATGATCACCTGTTAGTCCAGCTCCAGATGATCTAGCACCTTCTTCTGACTTATGGAGGCATACACACA